AGGCGGCATTTGCTGCCTGTTGCCGTCTTCTCGATTCTGGCTTTATATGTATTCTTAATGCTTGGTCTTGTTGTTGTTATTATTATTATTATATTTTCATCCTGCTTTTTTATAGATCTATAACTCAAGGCGGTGAAGATGCCTAGTACTCCTGCCTTCTGTTTTCCACACAACAACCCTGTGAGGTGGGTTGGGCAGAGAGAGAGAGAGATTTGCACCATTTCTGTACTTCCTTCAAATTTTTCAACTTATTAGCAAAATTAAAAACGTAAGCCACGATGCAGCGTGTCGCCAGCACAGTCCGTTTAGTCCACACGTTCTGGGTAAATGCTTAGTTCTAGTTAGTTGAAACATGCTAATTATGATAATTATGACATCTTCTTTTGAATTTGGGCTATATCAATGTTTTTTATGTGGGCGGCTGTATAAATGTTTTAAATAAATAAATAAATAAATCTATTTTGGTCTCGGCTTGCTGCTGGATTCGGAAAATACGGAAAGCACGTTGGCTTCGTGCAATACATTCAGCCAGGTTCGGTCAAGCTTTAGCAGCTGTGTTCCCACAACATATAACTTGGTTCGTGTTAACCTTGGTTAGATTTTTTGGGTGGTTCGGGATTCAACGTATTGTGCGAACCTGGGTTGGATGTGAATGCAGTCATCGCGTTGTGCCGTAAACTTAATCACATGCAAAAGTTTCCTGAACTGCACAATTCCTGCCACGGAGGAGGCAAATTAAGTGATTGCCTGGATCAAGAGAACCGATTATTCAGCTGACAAAGGGGTGTTCTGGGGGGGGAGGGCGAAACAAGCCGGGATGATGCTTGCATCTGTTTGGTTGAAGCCCCAACCTTTTTCTACCTGCACATAAGATCCTGACAATAATGTAATCAGTCGGTGCACCACTTTCCCACAATTCGTACACCCTCCCTTTGATCCTGCGTCCACCGTGGCAAAGCTGGATTACTGTAATCTTCTCTGATCCACACAGACTTCTAGGTGCTCCTGAGCACGGTTTCCACCTTCCCAAACAAGTCTCTGCATTGTCCAGCAAAACCAAATGCCCGCTGGCCAGGGTGCAACTGACCTCTCCTGGCAAGGACAGGCAGCGGTCCTTACGTCTGGGCCTTACAGGAGTTGTAGTCCATGAGGACCTTGTGTCCCTGGCCCTAGTGAGCAGGGGAGAGGTTCCCCAAAACAAATTAATTTGGGCCAAAGAGCAGGACTTCAGGAGCGTAGAAGAGAATGCCGGGGTCGGGCATCCGGGGTGGCGCAAGGGATGGGATGATCGTGACATCGTTTGCCATGATGTTATGACGCACGTGATGTCATTATGACTTACACCGGATGCCTGTGCTCCGAGGAGCTTGTAATAATAGTAGTAGTAATAGTAGTAGTAGTTCAGGATGGGCTCATTCATACATTTACGTTTTGGCCTGGTTGCTGAAGCCGCTGAACTGCCTGGGCTTTTCAAATGTGTGTGTGTGTGTGTGTGTGTGTGTGTATTCTGTTTTGCTTGTTATTCTTCGTCATTCATCATATTCTTTTTTTAATTTTTGTTTATAGTTCACTTTTGTATTCTTTTGCAGTGAATTGGGTGGTTTGGTTTGGTTTGGCATGTTTGCCTATTTTACAAAAAAACTTGTAATAAAACTATTTTTTTAAAGAAAAGCAATTCATACCATTATCGGGGGGGGGGGGGGGGGGATGAGGGGGGGAAACCCGGAATCCAAAACTGTCCCAACAGGCTGAGTTCAGACCACACGCAAAGTCACGGAAGAAAGGAGCCACGGTTAACCCTGACCTAATTTACTAGGTTAGTGAATGCACCCACTACCCTTTCCCCTCCACTGGTTAAGCAGGTTGCACCGACCCGAATCGATGATCGTCTTTCTGCTTGGGGAGAAACGCATCAACCTGCAAAGACCGAGGATCTTAGCAACAGCCTGGCACCAGCAGCCCGCCCCAGGAATGAAAATGCCAGCCTCTGCAGGATGTCGTTTCAAGGCAGAGAGACGGTCCTAGAAAACGGCCCTCGCTTGCCCCCAGCCACGCTCTTTTCAAAGGCAACAGCTGGGTCTGCAGCTGGAAATTCTGGGTTGCTCACCTTTGTTAGGAAAGAAGGAAGCCTGCGGGGCCTTTAGGAAGAGAGAGCGGGGAAGCCAGGAGGAGGAGGGCTGTGTTAGTCTAAGGCAGAGTTTCTCAACCTTGGGAACTTGAAGATGGGTGGACTTCAACTCCCAGAATTCCCCAGCCAGCCCAGTCTTCAAGTTCCCATGGTTGAGAAACACTGGTCTAGGGTATCCCCAAATCAGGAGGGGTACAGCTCAGGAAAGCTTCTGCCTTGGAATGAAAGGGGTGAGTCTGGAAAGGGGCTGCTGGGCTCCTGGTTTCCAGAAGGAGGGGAGACCAGCTGAACCGAGTGGCGTGATCTGGCCGGGCTTGCGGCTTCTCTTTTCGCCAGCCCCAAGGAGCGGCACGGCAGAATTTGACCGGCCTGCCCAGCCCGGGCCTGGCGTTTATGCAACACGCCCGCCTGCCCTCCCTCCCTCTCGCTCTGGCACACCTGGCCAGCAGAGCTGCGGGGAAGGAGCAAGGCTGGTATTTTTCCACTTGCCCAGCGGCAGCCCAGCGGTGGCCTGTTTATCCCCGCAGGAACCTTTAGACACAGTTCAGCACCACAGCAGCAGCAGCAGCGGCGGCGGCGGCGGCGGCGGCGTGTCCTCTGGACTCCCCTGAAGGCGAGATAAGAGGGCCAGGGGCTGCGCATGGGCTGAGCTGAACCGTGGAAGGACTCTGTGCGTGTGGGCGGAGAAGAGGCAGGGGTTACCTGGTTCCCCAACAGGCCCCTGCCTCCCCTCGGAGAAGCCGTTGCGCCAGGAGCAGCAGGCACCCTGCAGCAGCCATGGCGGGCAATAAAACACCCTGTG